ACCAGCAATGTACAAGTGTACCCTTTTCCCCACATCCTCCCCAGCACTTGTTGTTGTTTGACTTCATCATGGCTGCCAATCTTACTGGAATGAGATGGTATCTTAGGGTGAAAATACCTTTATTTTATTTATTTATTTTTATACAGTGCTGATGATCAAACCCAGTGTGTCACATGTGCTAGGCAAGCACTCTACTGCTGATCTACTCCCCACCCCAACCCAACCCTAGACAGATGTCTTTAATGCCTCCTTTGAGTCTTGAATCCTTTTACTGGAAAATGTGGTAAAACATTACCTACTTCATAGCACTGCTATTTAGATGGAATGAAATAATGCTGCAATGCTAAACATATGGTAGCTACTCAATAAATGATAGTTATTATTATTTCCACCTGCCATCCTGTCTTCCAAATAAGCCTTTGTGAGGAGATAACTACATGTTGGTTCCCAACTTAAAATTAATGAAGCAGAAATTGAGATTCAAAGTAGAATAGTGGTAATAGCATTAAGTTGGGCATCAGAATTTCTCTCCTGACTTTTGTTGCCCTCTCTGTATCTAGCAACTATTTAACCTTGGTCAAGTCACCTTAATTGTCAGGGCTTCCAATTCCATGCCTCCAATGGGGGCACCATACTCCAATATAGAATTGATCTTTGAAGCCTTTAGAATTCTCTAAATTTGTTACATTTGAGATTATGAATTATTACCCTTGGTTTGATTGTTTTTAAGAAAATTAGTTGGGTTGAGTGGAAGGTATACATTCATCAGTAATTCTCTTTAAACAGTTCCACGTTGTTTATTTACTTAAAACTTTCTGAAACATACTTCCTCCAACTACCGCAGAAACTTGCTTGAAAGCTACAAAAGACTCAAAACCACCACCTACCGGTGAAGATAGGAAGTTTCAGGTTGGTGATACAAGATGCACTGCCATCACAAGTAAAAGATGGTTATTCATAGCAATCTTTTTATATCATGTTCTTTTTGTCCTCTCATCACTGATGATACATTAAGTACACAGAAACTTCCTGACTTAATAGCTTGTTTATTTAGCAATAGTCTTAAAACCCATGAAACATTGTGGACTTTAGAGAAGTGGTCAAAGATCGTTGTTTTTGAGATGGGGGAGGGGGACAAAGGCGCCCTCTATTCATACAGCTCAAACCCCTTCTACTCAACATCGGCCCACCTTATCCATATATTATGGATAGAGAAACCGTTCCTCAAATGCCTGGTTCAGAGAATCAAAACCACCATCTTAGAAAAGATGTAAATCAATACATCAGTGGGATCCTTAATATCAAGTATCTAACGACTTTGGTGTATCTTCCACAGTAAAATATCAAATATCTAAAAGCAGGAGTGTAAAGTTGGGGAAGAGGTCTGAGTCCTAAGATACTAGGACTGCTGGTATATATATATATATATGTGTGTTTTTTTTTGTTGTTGTTGTTTGTTTGTTTTCTTTTCCCGTTAGTTCTCCTATTTTTCTTCTCTCTCAAATGAGTAATTAAGACAAACATTATGTTTAAATAGAACAGATAGTGTCCTGTGCAGGGTGATTTGCTTATTTCAGAAGGCACCTGGAAATTCTTCCTGGTCGAAAATACTTCTGAGTCTTTTTATGAAATCAGAAATTAGGCCATTTTCTAAAAGTCTGCTATAGGTACACTGGAGTCTACTTTTGAGATTCATCTTTACTTCAGCAGTTTTCTACACTTTCTTGAGAATCTTACATAGGATCAGTCCTGCTAGTAGGAATCTCTTGGGTTTTTTAACTTAAAAATAAGTTTGATTTCCAGTTTTTACTGTATTCACGAATATTGGCTAAGTCTTTGAATGATATAATATCATGTACCTAGTTAGCCTTTGAAAACCTTAGGACTGAATGCCTCCACTGGCATCCGGGCATTTATTCCTATTTCTACTGCTTRAACAGGCTCCTGGGAGAAGGAGTTTCGACCGAGAAGTTCAGAGAAGCAGTTGTATGGAACTTGCAACAGTTGGTGTCCGGCGATAGGCAGGTTGGAAGTGATAAATGGGGCAGGTTTAAAAACAAAAAGCCCCAGGGAAGGAAGGAGCAGCCGTGGCCTTGGGGGACAGARCGAGGGCGGCGCGGGGCCGAATTCTGGCTCTGGGAAGGAGGCTTTCCAGGCGGCCGGAGGCTGCGGCGGACGCAGTGGCGGACTGCAATTCGCAGCCGGGCGGGTGGGGACGCGGCAGGGCGAGCGCGCGGGCGCAGGCCGCCCCGGGGCCACGGGAAGGTGAGGCCATCACTGCCCCCGCGCCGCCCCCGGCGGGAGGCGCGACGCCCAGGCCGCGGGTGCGTGCGCGGCCCCGGGCGACGCGGCTGGGCGTGCGCGGGGCCGCGGCGGAGGCAGGGCCGGGCTGGCGGCAGAAGATGGCGAGGGTGTGTAGGCGGCAGCAATGCTCCGTTGAGAGACGCGGCTTTCGGCAAGAACTGGACTCGTGGCGCCACAAGCTTATTCACTGTGTAGGTGAGACCCTCCTCCGGCCGCTTCCGGCCCTCGAGTCTCCCCGCTACTGGCAGCTCAGGGCGAGGGAGGGAGCCGGGGCAGAGGCGGCGCTGCTCCGGCCCGCCCGCCCTCTCGGGCTCGGGCGCCCCCTCCCCCACCCCCCGGAGTGCGAGCGCGCGCGACCTCCAGGCGGGCTCTCCTCCTCGGCCCGGGCGCGCGCCGGCCCCTCCCCTCGCGCGCCTCCCGGGGCGGGTTCTCGGCGCGCGCGCCCCTCCGCCTCCCCGTCCGGCACCGCTGCCGGTTTATTGTGGAGTCTGCGCCCCCCGCCTCGCCCCTGCATTGGGGTGGCTGAGGGCGGGGGGTCTCTGGGTACTCGGCCCCCGCCCCCTTTCTCCTGCCCGCACCCCTCCCCCACGCGTGGTGGCGCGCCCCCGTTCCCGCGGGCACGCGCGGCGGGCGGCGGGCGGGCGCCCGGCGTTCGGCGTGTGCTAGGCGTGAGGTGGAGATGGGGGCGGAGGGAGCCGGAGCTGTCACAGGCCCGGGGTCCGCCTGACCAAGCCAAGTGGGGTGTCATGGCCGCGGGGGGCAGCGGCTGCACTTCCTCCGCGGGCGGCGGCGGCGGCGGCCGGGGAGTTAGTCCTGGACGCACGGGTCGGTGTGTGCGTATTTGTGTTTGGCGTGTGCGCGGCGGGGAGGAGGGGGTGGGACCGAGTCCGCCCGAGGAGCCGGGCGGGGGTCGCTTCTGTCCCGTCGGGACTGGCCGGAGCCGCCGCCTCGCGGAATGCCTAGTCCGCCCCTACCCCCAGCCTCCCGGTCCTTGACGCCCCCCGGGTGGCTTTTTCCCGCGGGCCGGAGGGAATGTGGACGGGGGCGCCCCGGGAGGGGCCGGGCGGCCGAGCTGCGCCTCTCACACTGTGTGTTTTGTCTGTTTTTCTCTTCCAAGGTCCCGTTTCCCTCTGTGCGGCGGCCGGCGGGACCATAAGGGCTTAACTCATATATTTAACCCCCCTCCAAAAAGTAAGTGGCCGGTGTGGTGTCTCCGCTCCGCCCGCCGCCCCTAGCCCCAGTCCATCCTTGTGTCTGACTCTCCTGTCCTCAGCATTGTTATTTCCTCGTCTTTGCCTCGGTGCTGCTGATGTGTGGGGAAATGCCCTCTTTTCGTCCTCTGTCCCCCACGCCCAGCCCTCGGGGAGGCCCAGAATTTCAGCACCCCCACCCTGTGAAGAGTATTCTTGGGAACCAGTTCTTCCCCAACAGAATCTGGGCGATTCTGTCCWTTCGCTTGGGCCCCTCTTACCCTCCTTCCCGACGGGGTTTCGTTGGAAGGAATTATGCAAATCCTGCTTTCTGGTGTCCATTCAGCGGCAATTTCATGCGGTGAGAAGTTCTCTTTGTTGTGTGAGGGGGAGAACAGACACTGATTTAATAGACATATCTGTTGGGGGGAAGGGTGGAGGGGGTGTGGAGAGGCTCAGTTTGGAAGAATTACAGCACTTGGTTAGCTCAGTCTTTGTGTTTGAGCCTTCTGGCTTGACAGGAGGGTCTGCCCTTTACAATGTCCCACAAGGGATGTTTTTCTATAATAGATTAAAAAGCAAAACTGAAACTTTAAACAAGTGAAAAATAAGGTATCCTTTACTTAGAGAATATAAGACTTTACATTTCTGCAGTGTTTCTTTATGGAAATGTATAATGTGAATTTTGTTAATGATTTAGTCTGTAACATCAAAATTCATATAGGCAACAATGCTGTAAGGTATCTGATATCACTTTGGTTGTCCAAAGGTTAAAAGTACATTTTAAAATTCATGCCTATGTAAATAAGAAAGGCATGAACAGCTTTTTTTTGGTATGATTTGTCTTGTGAACATATGTTAAAAATTCCCCTCCTGCCAATTCAAGCCTATCTCTGCCCTCCAGGAAATACACAGCCTTTTGGCTATCAGTTCTCATTTTTACTGTGCTGTCTCTGGTTGTTTAATTCTTTCAAACCTGTCATATGTATTTGCTGAAATGTTAAATTGGTTTACACACTTATGATTTATGTGTCGTTTGTCACCATCATATAAGAAGTATATAGATTTTTGAGAAACACAAAATTGGTGCATTTTCCACGTTGTGGATTAGTATAAAATGTTAAAAATTATTTTGAAGAACATTTAGTTTTGTAGAGTTTCACTTTTGTAAGTGGTTTTGTGTAATAGGGTCTTTTAGTTTTTTAGAAGTTTATGAAATTTGAACACTGTAATCCTAAAGATTTCTTATTGTTGCTTTAGTATAGATGGTTATAATGAGTTGTTTATTTTATTCTAATTCTGTTTGCTTTAAATCCTTCTGCCTCAGGTACCCTGTCCCTCCACTTTTTAAAAAAGTATGTCATTGCTAGCATTAGTGGTCAGTTACTACTGCTTGATAGTGTTTTGTTTTGTTTGGTGACTTATAAAATCCCTCTGTAAATATCGCAATTTAATAGCAAAATTAGATTCAATCTGGTGATCAGTTTTCTTAAAGTATACTTTTAACTCCCAAATTTCCACTTTCCAGGTAGAGTTGAGGACGTTTTGGAGTCCAGAGTGCAGAGTGGTATTTTAGTCTTAAACATATATTGATACTAAAATCAATTTCACCGCACATTTTCTCCTATTATATGAAATTTAGTTTTTTGAGAGGAGCATTCTAAGTAAATTAGTTGTATTAAGTTTATATTTAAAAGGGGTGGCAGTGATCCTTTTGTAGTCCAAAAGGCAACTGTGCTGTTTACTATCAAATGTAATGATTCCTTTTTTATTTTAATGGGGTCGGATCTGAAATAGTTAATCTTCTGATTGTCTTGGCTGGTTATTTTAAATACTTTGGGATTTTTTATTTCCTAAATGAGTTAATTTATAGCACTCTTTGGATTAAAAATGAATTTTTTGGGGGGTGTACTCTGGATTGAATCCAGATGCACTTAACCACTGAGCCACATCACCAGTCCCCTCTTTTTTTTTTTTTTTTTTGAGATAGGGTCTTGCTAAATTGTGTAGGGCCTCACTGAGTTGCTGAGGCTGGCTTTGAACTTGCAATCCTCCTACCTCAGCCTTCCTGAGTTTCTAGAATTACAGGAGTGTACCGCTGCTCCCAGCTAAAAAGGAATTCTTAATCATTTCCAAAATCTAATTTTCCTTTCTACTTCTTTTTGGGGTATGTGGGGAAGACAAGTCAATGTTGGTGGTGGAGTATTAGTTGCTGATTCCAGATTGTTTAGTTGAACTGGAATTAGTGCAGGTTGAATATGAGTATCCCTTATCTGTAGTGCTTGGGGTCAGAAGTGTTTCAGATTTCAGAGTTTTTCAGATTTTGGAATGTTTGAATAGATTTTACTGGTTGAGCATCAGGAAATATGAAATACTCCAATACTTTTTGAGCATTTTTTATTAGAAATGCTAAGTGGGTTCACACAGTGATTATGATCAAGATGGGTATTTGGTTATGAGGTGATTATTGAGGAATCCTATGGGACTTAATATTACCTACAAGATTCTAGGAAGATCTAGGCTTTCTCTGATGTGATGTAACCTATTGCTTGGCTGCTCCTCACCCTTATTCTCAAGCTTTTCCCAGTGTGGGGAAAGTTGTGATTTTAGTTTAGCTTTAGATTGGCTAAGAAAACAATAACAGGGTCAGTCTTTTTGGCTTATATAAAGGTATTTCAAATTATTCTGATTCCCTCAAATTTATAACTGGGGCAATTCTAGGAAACATTTGAATGCCAGTTTTTAGCCTTAATGGGGCTACACAGTATGGCCGGAAATTTCTTATGAAGTGAAAATTGGTTATTTGCCGTCTTTGGAAACTTGCCACTTCTGAGCACCTGCCTAATATTTAGCTACTTGAATTAATATTTTTAGGAATGAAAGGCAGTTTAATAAGTGCTTATTAGTTCTTTTAAGTATTTGTTAAGYATCCATCTTTTACCAGGCATTGTGGGCAAAGATATTGGGAAAATTGCACTAACTTTCAGGAACTTGTAGGCCTTAGAGGAAATGTAATGTATTCAGTTATTGTACAAAGCAAAAATGTGCTATATGATAGTACAGGCAAGCGCTGGCATATTGAGAAGTGAGAGAAATCTCTTGAGATGATGAAGGCAGGCTTCTTGAGGAAGGTGACAAATTTTTGCTTACTTTTGATGAATATGTTAAAAGAATTCCATTCATGAGAAGTAGCATGAGCAAAAGTGGAAAAGAATAGCAATGAGTTGTCGGTTTAAGCTGCAGACAATGATTAGTGTACAGGGCATGGAGATGCTACAGGTTTGTAAAGTTAGGTTATAAATTTTTCAAATGCAGGTTAAAAAGGGGAGACTTTGTTAGGCAACTTGCAGTTTCTATCACATTGCTTTCTTTTATAATTCCATTGTGGAATTCTACAATGAACAGGTTGTTTTCAAGCCATCTTGATAGGGACAAAATTATCCACAATAGTACTATATTTGAAGTAAGCTCATTTGGAGGTTATTCCCTAGGTACTGTTGCATTTATTCTTTTAGAGTTGCTTAAAATCAATGGCATATTCATTCTTTGAATATCCTTAGTCTTGGCAGATTTTCATCCTTATAGGATGAATTGATTATTTGGAAACAGTCAAAAAGTATCTGCTGCATAGTACGGCAGATAAAGGTGTATATTAAATAATGAGATTGGTTTTCTTGCTTGGCTTGCAAACTGGCTCCGAAAGCTCAGCAAATGGGTTTGATGTATTTTGATATACCTCTGAATCTGTCTTTTAATTCTTACCTTTTTTTAATGTCTATCCATCTGCTGTGTGGGATCTTGAGATGGGAAAAACTACTTTTTGTGGTTTCAAGTTAAAAACTTAATATCACTACTGTACAAAGTATCTTTTAATTTATCTGCAGATATTTAAAAATTATTTTTACTATTCCATGCATTTGCATATTGCTTTGGGGATAATTCCATTATAAAATGTCTATATCTTGAATTTTTTCTTATTTTAATTGAGATATAATTCACATACTGTAAAATTCACCTTTTTGAAGTGTGTGATTCAGTGATTTTTAGTTGTATTGACAAAGTTGTGTATATATCATGACTAATTCAGAACTTTTCTTACCTAAAGGCAGTCATTTCCCAATACTTTTATGACCCAGCTCTTGATAGCCACTAATCTACTTTGTTTCTGTGGATTTTTCTAGTCTTGTATTTTTTTTTTCTTTTTTTTGAGAGAGAGAGGGAGAGAACTTCTTTTAATATGTATTTTCTAGTTTTCAGTGGACACAACATCTTTATTTTTATGTGGTGCTGAGAATCGAACCCAGTGCCCCGTGCATGGTCACCCGTTGAGCCACATCCCCAGCCTTAGTCTGGTATTTTATGTAAATGAAATCATTATGTGGCCCTTAATGTCTGACTTCCTACCCATAGCATACTGTTTTTAAGGTTCATCCAAGATTGTAACAATTATCAGCAGTTTTATTCCCTTTATGACAAAATAATGCTGCTTTGTATGGACATACTATTGTTTGTGTAGCCATTCATTGGTCAGTGAACATTGGTTGTTTCCAGTTTTTGGAGACTCTTCACTATTGACTATTATGATAATGCTTCTATGAACACCTGTGTAAGTTTTTATGTGGGCATTTATTTTTAGTTCTCTGTGTTTATACTTAGGATAATATTGCTGTGTCATATGGTAATTTTATGTTTTAGCTTTTTTTTTTTTTTTTTGGCAGTGTTAGGATTAAATTTAGGGCCTCATACATGCTGGGCAACTGCTCAATCACTTAGCTATATTCCTAGCCATGTTTTTAACTTTTTGAGGGATTGCTAAATCATTTCCCAAAGTGTTGCAGTACTGTAGATTCCTATCAGCATTTTCTGAGGGTCCTAATTTCTCCATGTCCTCTCTAACACTTTATATTACCCCTCTTTTTCTTTCTTATTATAGCTACGCAGATGAGTATGAAGTGCTACCTCATTGTGATTTTGACTTGTATTTCCCTAATGACTGGTGAT